GTTTTTATTTATTTTTTGGTTTTCGGTGGACACAACATCTTTGTTTATATGTGGTGCTGAGGATTGAACTCGGGCCACACGCATGCCAGGTGAGCACGCTACCGCTTGAGCCACATCCCCAGCCCCCCATAAGCAATTATAAGCTCAACTTCAATGTGAAATGTTATTTCTTTGAAATTGACTTTGGAATAAATATCCCATAATTCAAATCTAGTCCCTTAGTCATCAAAAAAGATGCAACTATAGCAATGGATTAAGGAAATGGTTCATGAAGATCACTATAGTGTGGTGAAATGGTATTTACATACCAGTGAAGTTCAATTAATTCCTTGAGTAACAGGGAAGAAGTTCAGTTACTTTCTTAAAACACAGTCCTAAAGGGCTAGAGAYATAGCTCAGTGGTAAATGATGTGTTTAGCAGGATGAGGCCTTCAGTTTTAATCCCCAGTACCACAAAATAAACAAAGGTTCTGAATTCATGTAAGAAAAAGCTATTATTTCAGAGAGCAGTGTTTAAATTATTTGAGGTAAATGACCTTACCCAGTGAGACCAAGTTGCTATAATTCTCCAGCATCACATCTCTGTACAATTCCCTCTGAGCAGGGTTCAGGCACTTCCATTCCCTTTGAGAGAAGACTACAGACACATCACTGAACTTCACTAGTTTCTGAAATGAGAAACGAACACATTACTGATGAAATTATAAAATGCATACTTAAGGAAAAATAGGAGATAAAATATTTCATTGCAACAAGTGGGAGACTATACAAAACAAAGGCTAGGGCTGAAAGCTTATCACAAAGGTAAGAGATAGGAATGACACTGGTGTTTGAGTAGAATGGCCTTATTTTCTTGAAGAATCTAGTTGCYACATGCAAAATTTCCTATATATTATGGGATTCTTTGATTACTCAAACATTTTTGAGAATAAATTAAATGTTGCCCAATTAAATTAAACAATGGATATAAGCAAATTCATCTTTTCCTTTACTTAAAATCATACAGATTTTTTTTAAAAATACTATATAAGGGCTGGGGCTCAGCAAAAGAGCACTCGCTTAGCACTTGCAAGGCCCTGGGCTTGAGCCTCAGCACCACATAAAAATAAATAAAGATTAAAAAAAATACTATATAAAATCTCTCCTAGAATAATGGGTTTGTATAAAATTAAAGAATTTTTAAAATATTCAGCTTAATCTTTATGTCATTATTTCTTAATTTTTCCTTATTTGGGCAATTCTATTATAAATGTTATTCATTTATTCATGTGAGACAAGAGTCTAGGCTCATCTGAACTTCATGGCTTCAGGTGATTCTAATCACCTATGTCTTCTGAGCAGCTGGATTTAGCCCATCTTATAAATAATAATAATAATAATAATAATAATAATAATAATAGGGGATGGGATTATGGATCAGTGGTAAAGAGCTTGCCTTGCATGTGCAAAGCCCTGGGTTTGATCCTCAGCACCACGTAAAAATAAATAAAGTTATTGTGTCCAACTACAACTACAAAAAATAAATATAATAATAATAATTATTATTATTATTATTATTACTACCACTACTATTACCAGGGATTGAACTCAGGGGCACTTGACCACTGAGCCACATCCCCAGCTCTATTTTGTATTTTATTTGGAGACAGGATCTCACTGAGTTGCTTAAACACCTCACTTTTGCTGAGGCTGGCTTTGAACTCTTGATCCTATATCTATATCTCAGCCTCCTGAGCTGCTGGGATATAAATTATTTTAATCAGCTAAGTAATAGTCAAGCAGGCTAGGAGTGTAGCTCAGTGATAGAGCACTTGCCTAGCCTGCACAAGACCCTGGATTCCATCTCTAGCTCTGCAAAATAATAATAATAGTAATAATGATAATAATAATTAATAATAATAATAATAATAATAATAATAATAATACAATCTTATGGATATACCAAACTTAATTATAGAATCCAGAAAGTAAGACATTTATGTTAGTTAATCTCTCTTAAGGTTTCTCTAATCATGGGAGAATACAAAGATCTAATATTTATGCCTCTGGGTGATTTTCTTATAAATACTGTACACTTTCTTTGTTCCTGGAACAAAGAATCTTGATGTAGAATAAGCCAAATCACACAGATGTCAAGACCAGCTTATTCCATTCAAACTCAAAATGGCTCCTATTGTGGATTTTCACCTCTTGGAGATTCCCAGAAAAGATCTCGATTGCTCCATACACAGAACCCAACCATATAGTRAGAATGAAGCCAATCAACACTAAACTGCATTTTGCCTACAGACACAGTTCCCTGGAAAACTTTAGTTTTCCTGTGTGTCATCAGATAAGCTCATCCTTTGTTTGATTACACTTCAGCTCTGATGAAGTAAAATACTTCCCTCCGGAGACTTCGTTTTTGCCCCATTTGTGCTGCAGACAGAGAATGCATGCACAGCAGATGCTGCATGGTTTAGTCAGGTTCAGATGAATATTTGTTAAAGAAAACAGGGGCATATAAGAGCCACTGGGACAATTAGAGATGAAAGAAAACTTCAGTTAAATAAGAAGGTTCAGTATAAAGAATGAAAATTCTTTCACGTGACCCTAAAAGGGAGTTGGGGAATCTCAAGAAAGAAAGAGACAGCTGCTTACGTGTGCCATGGTTTTAGGTTTACAAGAACTGGCCAGTCTTCCTCAGGGTTCTTCTAGAGAAGCAAAGTTCTGAGAAACCTGAATTGGATGAGAAAAAAAAAATGAACCAATGACAAGAGGCTGTTTCAAAAGTAACAAAAAGATGCAAATAATCTTTTCTTTTCTATTCTTGCTTGTAAACACTGGCACCCATACTTCCCTCACATGCTCCTCCCTCATATTCTCCCTGTCAAGGAAGCTGGGCTACTGTAAAGAGCAGAGGCTCACCTGTATTAGAATTCATGATCAGTATCTTCAGCAGGGGAGTTCTGGGCAATCCCCACTATGAAGATGCTGATCTCGGCCCAARGCTGGGATGTTCAGAACCGCCCTGACTAGATTCTCCTTCCTGATTCTCAATTCTAAAAAGTGACCACACAAACTAAAATAGACGGCAGTTTTCCTTGCTTTAAGCCTTTTCTGGCCTCCCTGGACTTGAAGACAAAAGGCAGAACAGACTGGGAGTCTGCAAACTATGGCCCATGAACCAAATCTGGACCATCCGTTTACTCTTGTCTATGGCTACTTTCAGAAAATTCCAATAGCCATTTAACAGAGTTATATGGCCTATAAAGCCTAAAATACTTAGTATTTGTTCCTTTATTGATGTGACATTTGCTGACCTCCAGCATGGACAATGCATGACAGCCTTTATCACTGCAAAACTGTACCTGCCTACTGGGATTCCTAYCCTCACCTGAACTAGAACTACCAGAATTCTCAGGGCTTGCAGCTCCCCATTTCCCCCAGGCAGAATCATCCACAGGATTTTTCTGCTTGACATCCTTCTTACTTCTTCATACCCAAACTTTGTGAAAAGTGAATTTATCATCCCTACATCGGTTAAAAAAGAAAGTYAACTTATATGGCATGTATCAATCATATAAATCTCAGAATAGCCCTAAAACACTGTTGTTATCTCCATTTCAAACACTAGAAACAGAAACCTAAATCTAGTTAATTAATGGCACATATGAGTTCTGATTCCAGAATTGTCCAACTACAAAGCCAGTTTGTTTTCAACTCTGCTCTTGCTATGGATATGCAGAATTTCTTATGACACCTTGGGAAACCTGAGCATGAATAATAATAGAAGTAACTTACCAGGAAGTATTAAATGTTGCTAATTAAGAAGATATGTTAAAGGGACAAGTAACATTTTATGTTTAGTTCACAGATGGATTTAAAAGACTGATTACATGTTAGCAAGGTTGGAACAAAATAGACACACAATGTCATACAATGGTATCACAAGAGGGTAAATTTTCTAATTCATGTTTATGTGATATAAAAACAAACAGGGGAGGATCTCAGGTATTGGTAAAATAAAATAAATATTYCGGAACTAGTAGTAATTTATTTTTTTCAGTTACAAGAATTTCTCTATAAGCTGAGCATGGTGGCACACGCCTATAATCCCAGTGATTTAGGAGGCTAAGGCAAGAAGATCACAAGTTCTAACCCAGCCTCAGCAACTTAGTGAGGCTCTGAGCAACTCAGTGAGACCCTGTCTCTAATATATAAAAAAAAAAAAGGGCTAGGTGGTACTGGGGATATAGCTCAGTTGGTGGAGTGCTTGCCTTGCATGCACAAGGCCCTGGGTTCAATCCC